ACCCCCCCCCCCCCCCGAAGGGTCTGGGGCCCCCTCCGGTTGGGTGCCTGGCCAAAACGCGGCAAACGGGACGGGACATGGCGGATGCTGGCCGGCCGCAAGGCCGTGCTGCCACCCTGCTGAGGCTTTGCCGGTGCTGGGGCTGTGCCGCAACCTCCTCAACCAGCATACCGCCCCCCCACTAGCGCCCCGAAATCCTAGCTGGCCTGGCCAGGCTTCGCCGCAATCGATGAAGACCTTCAATTCAACGAAAACTTCAGTAACCACATTGCGAAGCTCCGGCGCCGAAATCAAACTCCTTCAGTCGTGCATGTATTCTCGTTTTCATTGTTCGAAGAAACATATAAAGACATATGCCCTGAGAGTTGTCGGTGGGTGGCCTTGAAATGGGTAAGCAGGCCGACGCGCACCCACAAAAGCGAGCTTTAGTTTGGCACACCCTAAGCCCTAAACCCTAAAATTCCTAAACCCGAAACCCAAAACCCTAAACATCTCTAAACCCAAAACCCTAAACCCTAAAATTTCTAAACCCAAAGCCCAAACCCCTATAATTCCTAAACCCAAAGCCCAAACCCCTAAAATTCCTAAACCCGAAAGCTGACAAAGGCAGGAATCCTGCTGACCCGGAAGCTCAAGAAGCGACTGGCCCTCCGCTTCGAAATGCTCCCCGAGCTTGAGGATTTCTGAGGGCTTCTGAGGGCTTCTTAGGGTTTCTGAGAGCTTCTTTGGGTTTCTTAGGGTTTCTTAAGGTTTCTGAGGGTTTCTTGGGGTGTCTTAGGGTTTTAGGGTTTTAGGCCTTGAAACATAGAACATAGAACACAGGCTTGGTTGTTGGGGTTCTTTTGGGATTCAGGATTTTTCAAGTTTCAGAAGCATACCACGCACCTATAGCGGAACAGAGTGCCTGAACCCAACATTCTCAACTGAAGACCCTTTCAGTACCCATGCCCCAAACTCCTAACCTAAACCCTAACCCTAAACTCCTAAACCCTCAGCCTTAAACCCCATAAGCTTTACCCTAATCTCTTGGTAGCTGTGGGGCCGAAGCCAAGGTTCACGTACACAGGCAGCACTCTGGTAATTGGAGCTGTCGGCGTGGTGGTCAGCCTCATTCTCAGCGCGAAGGTGGAGAGATGTTTTTGGATAAACCCTAAACCCTAAACTTAAACCCTAAGCCCTAAAGTAGGTTTATTAGGGTTTTGGGTTTGGGGTTCCAAGTTTGTGTGGGATTTTCGGGCTCTATATACAAGCTGCTGCATGGAGCTGCGTTCAAGAGGATCCTCAGCCCTAAACCCTGAAAACGTAGGTTCAAAACTGCTTGGGGAGGTGTAAGGTTCCGAGGGGCTTGGATAGGGTTACATTCCGAACGACCTGGAGGTGTACAACTTCGTTCGCTGGGCCATGGTCACCAAGCGCCTTGCTTCGCAGGTTGTTCTTGTGGTCTGTTCAGAGTCATGTTCAGGGTGCAAGGCCTTGGGTGTAGGGCTTTGTGCATTTCTTGTGCGGGTGTGTATGTAGCCTGCAGGCATGCGGTATGGCGCATCTCTGGTCAAAGCGCCATGCACCCGACAGACATACCTCCAAGTTTGATTTGAAGCTTCGATTTGGAAAAGCACTTCAGCTCAGACATGCGGCCTGCGACCAGCCGGTGTGCGATCCCGAATGGCTGAAGCTTTGCTACATTTACGAGTTGCTGCATCTGTTCCTCTTGGCATCATCACGGGTGTTGCTGCTTTGACACGATGTTGGTGTCGTCATCGCGCCCATCATCGTCCTTGTCGTCGTGGCGTAGTGGTGATCGTCGTCGTCATTGTATCTGCTTTTGTTGATCTTCGTGTCGCTGTTCTGATCCTTTAACCCTAAACCCTAAACCCTACCGGCGCAGCACAATCCTATTGCAGAGTACTAGTGGTAGTCGCTGTCTCCGTGTCAGTCGCAGCCTTAGGGAGTCGGACTCGGGCTCCGACTCGGAGTGGAGTAGCAGCGGTAGCGGGAAAAGGCGCTGCCAGTGGCCGTGGTCGTGGTATCGGTATCGGTAGTGGCAGTGTTTAGTGGGATGGTAGTCAGAGCTGCCGCAGTGCTTGGTACTCCGAATCCTTGGAATTATCGCTTAGCTGCGGGCAACCTTGCGCGTTGGTAATTGCTGGTCGCACATTTCGTGAAAGCAAGGCCATAGTTACTGTTGCAAGGAGGTTTGCCCTTGGCCAAGCTGTAGTCAGACGTTCTCACTGTGCATGTTTCCGCACTACCCATATGATTCATATGATCGATAATATGAGTGGTTCTCTAAATTAGGGTCCGTTTTGGGGTCCTTTTTATACGGGTGCCGTATTATTTTGGGGACCTACAAAGGGACCCATAGGTTAGAGAACTTCCCACTGCAAAGTTCGACGCCGAGGAGCGACGACCTTCACATCTCCAACAGCAGTTTCGCGCGACTGACGCAGTGTCTGGGTTCTTGTTGGAACTGAAGTTAACTTACCATACTATCCGTACTAATTAATCAGGATAGTAAGGGCTTGCAGTAAACAATTTCTCATTGTGGTAACTTAGATTAGGCTCCTTAACAAGAACCCAGGTGCGGAGCCTTCCTGGCAGACAGCCTGGCGGTCTTCTTGGTGCCTTTGGATGTGAGCAGTGCTACATGTAGTTAGTAGGGGGATCTACGGGTTTTTACGTTTGAGTTTAGGATCTACTACGACGATTAACTACTCAGAGTTACGGAATAGTACTATTGCTGCCACTGCTACTGCTGCTGCTGCTGCTGCTACTACTGCCGCCCCCACCTGCTGATCACAATCGCCATTATCATCATCGCCATCATCAACATCATCATCATCACCACCATCATGTCCTGTCCCGTCATCGGCATGGTCAGCGTCACCGCAACCATCATCATCACCATCGCTGTGGCAATGGGGTCATCGTTTACGTATTTTGTGTACTTTGGGGTCCTCGGCACTGGGTCGTGTCTCGCTGCATGACGGAAACCCTTTCCGGAAACCCTAAGCCCCAAACCCCAGAGCCGAAAAAGACCTTGGAGCCGGGAAGCCCGAGACTCTTAAGCCCCAAAGCATTCGTTTAGCTTACAGCCATCCTACAATTTTACAAAGAGCAGTCAACCCTAAGCCCTAAAATCTCAAACCTACACACCCTAAACCTTAGACCCGAAAATCCATCACCTGCACCCTGCATCCTAAACCGATGTTTTTCTAGTGACATTTTCACAGGTGCTCGACCTGATTCTGCAGGACTGCTTTCTCTCCGTGCTATGTTTGAACGCTCGATTATGGTTTCGGGGTATATTATGGCACAATCCATTATTCTGATGGGGGTTTTGTGGGGCTCTCCGGGTTTTCGTGTAGAGACCCGAACCGTTCATCGGCTTTACAAGGAGCCCTCGCCCAAAGCACTTTCTAATTTTTGAGGGCTCTACATGATAGGACCTCCGTAGAACACCCGTGTAGAACCCTTACGAAACCTTTTGAGGAACCAACCATTCATATAGAAGCATGATTCTCATCGGGCCCGTTCAAAAAATGATTATTAAGGCCCCTATGCCAGAACCCCAACAAGGCCTCATCATAGAATTTTTTAGAATACCACTTCTAAGAAGCCTGCAGAGTCTCCTTGTTCTAATCAACAAATCCACCTGAATGACGAGTGGGCCTGTTCAAGTTAGTAAGGCGCTGAAACCCAACCCACAACCCTAAGTTCACTAAGCCCTATAAACCCTAAACCCCTCAACCCTAAACCCTAAACCCTAAACCCATAAGCCCATACACCCTAAGCCCCTTATAGAACCCATAAGCCCGAGCCCTTCAGAACCCTATACCGTTGTACTACACCGGAAGGACGAGCGAACCTACATCAACAGCGAGCTTTCGATCTTCGGTAACCGTGACCTCATCAGTGCTCCGGAGCACACCCCAGGGTTGATAGCTTTTCTGGATTTATGGTTTTAGGGCTTGGGGTTTAGGGTTGGAGGGTCTTGGGGTTTGGGATCTTAGGTTCAAGTGTTCTTGGGGTTTTAGGGTTTCGGGTTTGGGCTTCGTGTTGTAGGGTTTAGGGTGTTAAGGGCTTTAGGGCTAAGGGTTCAGGGTTCAATCCGTGAAGCGGAAGCAGTGAGTGAAGGTTGCTCGTCTTTATGTACATGCATATCGGTGCATGCGTGGATGTTTATGTATATGGAGATGTAGACGTAGATGTATAACTATGAAATTTCTTTTTGGGCCTTGTCCCTGTTACCAGTGTGGTTTGGTTGCTGTGCTCGTACTTTCTTGTTTAGGTGCACTGAGCGGCACGATCCATCCCCCGACAGCCCGATCCCATCCCAGACCTGCCGTAGCCCCAGCGGATTCATCGTGCCGTTTTAGGGCCTCTACGGTCTGGGCTTAGGTACATGCTCGAATAATCCGAGACCCTAAACCCTCAGCCCTAAATCCGAGACCCTAAACCCTAAACCCCAAACCCTAAACCGAAGATCAGTCTCTCCTCGTCCCATCGCCTTCCTCGCCCCCCTTCTGCGTTTTTAAGAAACCCTTGAGGTGTCTGGCTGAGGAATCGTGGCCGCGTTCTGTGGGGCTGCTTTGCCTTAGTTGCTGTTTGGGGAGTCGGCTCCCTTCTGAAGAGCAGCGAAGCGCTGATGCAGTACCAGACAGATGCTAGCCTTTGAAATATGGGTTCAGGGGCTTGGGCTTTAGGGCCTTTAGGGGCGCAGGGTGTAGATGGGGGGCCTACCCAAGCAACCAAGCGTGGTTGTTCGATTAAGGGTTCTGTATTTGGTTCAAGTATGATTTTAGGTGGGGTTTGTAACGCTCACGCCCGAGACCCTCACACAACCCTAAACTTAAGTAGATACCTAAACCCCAAGGCCCTAAACCCTAAGGCCCTAAACCCGAAACCCTAAGGCCCTAAGCCCTAAGCCCTAAGGCCCTAAACCTAAACCCTAAGGCCCTAAACCCTAAACCCTAAGGCCCTGAACCCTAAACCCTGAGGCCCTAAACCCTCTATGCGAATCTCCAGGCGAAAACTGCGCTCACCGGCGCCCACCGTTCCAATATAGGCCGCATGGCTGTCGCCGGGCTGCTGCTCATCATGGATACTCGCCGCAGTATAGGGTCTAGGGTTTAGGGTTTCAGGTTTAGGAGCCACCACAGCACCCACGAGAAGCGTGTTGTGAAGATGTCCCTGCTATTTTGGTTCTCTATGGTTCTCTCCTATGTACTTTGGGGTCCCTAAAGTCTTGCGAATCGGATGGTGTTTGCAGGGCTTTTATAGCTCTTTGAATTTCTTGGGTTTTTCTGAATTCATTGAGAAGCTTTCTTTCCATGGGAAATGGGGATGTAAGGACATACGCAGCCCTGAGCCTAAACCCTAAACCCTAAACCCTAAGCCCCCTGTTCTCCTTCGGGGATGCAGGACATTTGCATCGTAACCCAAGATCTGGATTTCCCTCACTTTGAGAATTCGGTGGAGCTAAAGATGCTCGGCACGAACATTGCCTTTGAAGGCTGCCTCTTGGTCAAAGCTCAGGGCCACCTGTGTACATTCTTGTCCAGGGGTTTTGGGTTTGAAACTTGCGAAGTGCTTCATATGGGTTCGTAAGAGGTTCAGGGTTTTTCCAAGCCTTACGGATCCTTTTTTGCCGTTTTGGTTTCCTAATGCTGCCACGGGAGCTCAGAAAAAAAGGATCCCCTGTCTGCCTTCCTTTTGTGACAGGGACTTAGGCTTTATCAACTATATACAAGTCGTGGTCTCTATGCTCCTCGACCTGAACTGCTTGTACACCATGGGCTGGTATACTCCTCTGGATTATGGGCAGTACCTATGGTCTCCATTGCAGTTCCTTTTTTTGGTTTAGCCAATTCTATATTAAGGATCCTAAACGGTAACCGGAACTACAAAACCCTAAACCCTAAACCCCAAACCCTAAACCCTAAACCCTAAACCCTAAATGGGGACTATAGGTATGTCTACAGCGACTCGGATCACATCTGTTCCCTCGGCGGGGAGAATGTGAACGCCACCATCGAGCGCTGGACCTCCCTGGACGCGGACTATCGGAAATCCTGGTACGACTGTGGAATCCCGGTCTAAAGGGTATCTACCCTGCCCCCTTATAGGGTACTATATAGGGTTCTATACTGGGNNGGCTTCTTCCCGAGTTTTGGATTTCTAGAAAATTCTCGGGTCTTGCGGGCTGAGGAGGCGTAGTCGGCGAGGCCTAGAAGCGGCGAAGAAGCACTTACTGACGTAGTTAGGACAGGACTTGTGATGCCAGTAGGCTAGGAGGCGTACTCGGATTTTGTTTTAAAGTTACGGGAGTATTCACGAGCAACCACCGTACTCGCAGGAACGATCGGTAGGATCGGAAGTTCTGTTTTCTAGGACTTCGATAAACCACAACTCTGACTCCCAAGGCGTTCCGATGTCAGCATGCCAGAAGATGCCGTTTCCGCAACCTGATAGTTCTGCGTGCGAAGCGCCTGACCATCCTCTGCAATGTCGGTATTATACCGACGTGACGCTTGGATGTATCGGCTTGAGCGTTGAGTTGATTTCCCGGAAGGGTGGCGATACTTTGTATCTTGAGTTTCGTGACGTTGCGCCTCTTAACAAAACCTAATGTCTTTTCAACCGCGCGACATGGCTCTCGGGAGCCGCGCGTCGTAGCATGGCGCTGCGGATGGATGGATGGATGGATGGATGGATGGATGGATGGATGGATGCATGTATGGATGAAGGATTGGATGAATGAGCTGATGCAAGATATTCGCGCACTCGTTCTCTAAAGGATTGGTTTACATAAG